ACGCTGGAGCTTGCTTTTATAACTGGGCATAGAACTGTCGAAGCCACCTGGCACCAGTAAGGTCACACCTGTAATCCTAGCTCCTCAGGAGGCTGAGATCTGAGGATCGAGGTTCAAAACCACCCAGGGCAGAAAAGCCCGTAAGACTCATCTCCAATGAACCATCAGAAAACCGGAAGTGGAGCTGTAGCTCAAGTGATAGAGCGCTCCCCTTGAGCTGAAGAGCTGAGGGACCCAGGCCCCAGAGTTCAAGCCCCTCGACCGACACAAAACAAACCTGTCGAAGCCAGGCACCTGTGACTCACGCCTATAATCCTAGCAACTCAGGAGGCTGAGATTTGAGGATCACAGTTGGAAGTCAGCCTGTGCAGTCTGTAAGACTTACCTCCAGTTAACCCACAAAAATTTGCAAGTGGAGCTGTGGCTCAAGTGGTAGTGTTTCAGCCTTGAGAGAGGGGAAAAAAAAAATAGTTCCTTTGGTCTGCTTCAGTCAGAATCTAACAGCTATTTTTACTGTGGGCCAGACCCCACGCTAAACACTTGAGACACATGATGGCGTATTACTCTCCTACAACTCTCAAAAGGCACAGAACGGACTTGGGCTCAGGGCCAAGGTCACACAGGTGACCAGTGCGGGGCTCTGATGAAGCCAGCAAGCCAAGGCTCATCTTTGCTCAGACAGTACTGGATAGCTGGGTCCTGCGGGCCAGTCTGCCTGCCCACCAGAGAAGAATTCAGCCTCTGTGCCCACTGGCGCCTGCCGGCTGCAACCCGGGAGTTGTTTGTTTTCTTAACAGGGTTAACCAAACCTCCTGAGCAACCTCAGAGCCTCTGAAGCCCAGCCCAGTGAAAGGGGGCTTTGTGTGATCATGGTGTGGAGGGTGGTGAGGGCCACAGCCAAGGTGGGAGCCAAAGTAGGAGATGCAGGCCAACCAAAGTCCGGGGTACAGAGTGCTGCCTCCCAACAACCACGGCTGCTGTTGGGAGCAGGGCTGGGCTGGGGACATCTGTATCTGCAGCCTTTCCCGTCTTTTGCTTGAGCTACAATCCTGTGGGGTCCATGTATGCACAGGGACCTTCAGTCCACTCCCAACTAAAAGAGACTTCAAGAGCTGGGCGCCAGTGGCTCACGCCTGTAATCCTAGCTACTCAGGAGGCTGAGATCTGAGGATCGGGGCTCAAAGCCAGCTGGGGCAGGAAAGTTTCTGGGACTTTTTTTTTTTTTTTGTCGGTCATGGGGCTTGAACTCTGGGCCTGGGCGCTGTCCCTCAGCTCTTCAGCTCAAGGCGAGCGCTCTACCACTTGAACCACAGCACCACTTCTGGCTTTTTCTGTGTATGTGGTACTAAGGAATCGAACCCAGGGCTTTATGCATGCTAGTCAAACACTCTACCTCTGAGCCACCTTCCCAGCCCTTTGTGAGACTCTTGATCTTCAATTAATCACAGAAAAAGCCACGAGGAGTGCTGCATGCAGCTCAAGTAGTAGAGCATTGGCCTGGAGCAAAAAGCAGAAGTCCAGGGACAGTGCCCAGGCCCTGAGTTCAAGCCCCAGGAAGGCAAAAAACCAATTCTTTCTTTTTTAAGCGAGTTGGGGATTAGAACACATTTCACAGTAAGACTCCTTGACTTGCTAAGTATTTTGAACTAAAGAGGGCTGGAGCTGCAGGTGTGGTTCCAGGCTACCGCGTGGTGTGTTTCCAGGCCTTGTCAGGTACAAGGCCTTAGATTTGATCTCAGGCCCTGGAAAAGAAATGAGTGTAGGGGAAAGGAAGGGATGACGAAGGAAAGGAAAAAAAGAGATTGAAAGGGTCTCAGAAGGTCTTTCTGGTCTCTTATCCTAATTTATCCCTTGAAGCTAGTCATAGAAACTGGATTTTTTTTTCTCTTTCCCCAGAGTACAGGTAGCTGTTAAACTTTGGAAGCTTATTCTCTCCCTTCTCCCTTGAACACTCATTCTAGAAGGATCCTGTCCCATGGGGATGGAAGGCTGCACAGAGAGACAGAGGAGAATCTGAGCAGACAGACCTTGCTGTGTTTTCCTTAGTCTGTTAGCATTAGACCAGACCCTTTGTCCAATCCTATTTCCATACAGCTGTCTAGTCCTCATTGAACTTAAGCATAAAAATGGAGTTTTTTTTCCCCTGGGCCTTTGTGCCTTCATTTCTGAAAGGTCCCATGTCACATAAAACTTTGGTTAAGCTGAGCATAAGTGGCTCACCTGTAATACTACCTACTCAGGTGGCTGAGATCTGAGGATTGCTGGTTGAAGCCAGCCCAGGTAGGAAATTCTGTGAGATTCTTTTTTTTTTTTTTCTGTGAGAGTCTTATCTCCAATTAACCACCATAAAGCTAGAAGTGGAGCTGTGGCCTTAGTGGTAGAGCACTAGATTTGAGCACAAAAGCTCAGAGACAGCACTGAGTTCAAGCCCCAGGACCAGCACAAAGACAACAATCTTTCATTAAATATATTTTCAGGAGGGAACATGGCTAAAAGTGACAGATAGGGTCAATTTGATCAAGGGCAAGTTAGTATCATGGTAAAAATCCTTTTGTACAATTTAGGCTAATACAAAAAAAATTTTTTTTTGGTTGTGGAGCTTGAACTCTGGGCCTGGGTGCTGTCCCTCAGCTCTTCAGCTCAAAGCAAGCACTCTACCCTTTGAGCCACAGGGCCACTTCCAGTTTTCTAGTGGTTTATTGGAGATAAGAGTCTCATGGAGTTTCCTGCCCGGGCTGGCTTTGAACCACGATCCTCAAATGTCAGCCTCCTAAGTAGCTAGGATTGCAGGCGTGAGCCACCAGTGCCCGGCTCGCTAATACAAAATTTTAAGCTTCATGATATATTGCTTGGCCATGTAATCCTAGCTTCTCAGAAGGCTGAGATCTGAGGATCACAGTTTGGAAGATGAGGGCTACAATGTAGTAGCTCTTAGTAGGCAGCGTGGGTCTTATTCTAAGTGACGTTCCAACAGTAGATAAGTCTTTCTGTTGAGAAGAGAGAAAAGGAGGAGCTAGAAGACCAAGAGACAGAGGGACAGGCATTCAGCTGGGTGTTGTAGGTAGAGTTGATTCCAGGATGAGGAGGTTCTTAGAGCTTGGGGGGGGGGAAGCGAAACCGCAGGGGCTTCTCCTCCCTGCAGGTCATTTCCCTTCCAGGGACCATACCCGGATGTGGGAAGTTTCAGCTTCCTGATTCTGAGGCCCAGGTGTGCTGGAAGAAGAAGGTGGGTATAGGCGATGCCTCCTTGCTCCCTTCACGTCATCCTCTGAGCCTCTCTCTGGGGTAGGACTGAGAATAGAGATAGTCTGCTCCTGACCAGAAGCACCTCTGCACTAGCAGGTGAGCCTGAGTCCCCCCAGCTTCAACCCTTCGTTCAGGCACTCTACTACCTGCTCCCCACCCCATGGTCTCCCACCAAGACTGAGCGCTTGATAGGAAGGTCCTTCCCTCATTCCACCTAACAGGGTTTGGAGGTGGTGCCCACAGGGATCCTTGCTATGTCTTTGCCCTAGAAGTGAGAAGTGTAGGGGTGGAAACAGAGGCCTCTCTAGCATATGGGATAAAGGAAGGTTCTGGATTAAAATCCTGCCACATGCCCAGGAAGATCTGCTCAGGAAGGGGGTGGGAGAGCGGCCTGGAGCCACCTTCCTCCTCCCACTGTTCATGGCCTGGATTTGTCTTCCTTTCCACACGCCCATCCCTCCAGGACAAGCCCTCAAGCCAGCAGTTCTAGGCTCAACACCTGTTCTGTGAAGGGCTCATCAAGGATGAGGCTACTTTGTTTGCTTTTCTGGTCCTGGAGCTTGAACTCAGGGCCTGGGTTCTGTCCCTGAGCCTCTTTGTGCTCAAGGCTAATGCTCTACCACTTGAGTCATAGCTCCACTACCAGCTTGTTCTGAGTAGTTTATTGGAGATAAGAGTCTCACAGACTTTTTTTGCCTTGGCTGATTTCGAACTGTGACCCTCAGATCTTCTGAGTAGCTAGGATTACAGATGTGAGCCACTGGCTTCTTTCCCTCCCTTCTTCCCTCCCTCCATCCCTCCCTCCTCTTTCCTCCTCCTCTTCCCTCCCTCCCTCCCTCTCTCCTCTCCCTCCCTCCTTCCTTCCTTCCTTCCCTCCCTCCCTCCTTCCCTCCCTCCTTCCTTCCCTCCTTCCCTCCCTCCCTCCTTCCTTCCCTCCTTCCCACAGTCTCCAGCGTTCTCCGGACTGACCTTGAACTTCTAGGTTCCAATGGTCCCTCTGGTCGCATCCTCCCAAGCAGTGCGTATGGTCTTTATTTGCAGATGCGTTCAGGTCACTCTCAGAGCAGAGCCGTGGGTCCCTAGTCTGCCTCTTCCTTCAGACTGGCCCGGGAACAGGTTAGCGCTGGAAGACATGAATGGATGCAGGAAAGGAAGGAGGGGTGGGGGTGGACGCTGGGGAAGGGGCCGGAGCCGCCAGGAGCGGCCCCAGGCTCTGACTCCCCCGGGGTCTCCAGGCCCGGAACGGAAGGGGCAGCCTGGTCCCGGCTAAGGGGTGAGGAAGGCAGGGACGCCCGCAGCTGGAGACCAGGAGCCCCCGGGCCCGGGGACGCAGTAAGGGACAGAGGGCCTGCGCCCAGGCCCAGGAAATGTTTGGTTAATTGACTTTCTGCCAGGGCTGCTCCCCCTGCGCGGCGGCCCCACCACCAGCGAAGGGCTGGCGGGCCCCGGGTGCGGGTCCCCCACGCCCCGGCTAATCGGGGCTCACAGCACCAGGCTGCGCCAGGAAACGCCCAGGGCGGGGCGGGCCGGAGGGGCGGGGCGGACCGGAGGGGCGGGGCCTGAGGGACCGAGGGGGTGGGCCACATGGGCGGGGCCGGTGGGACCCAGGGTTCTGGGAGGACGTGGGGCAGAGGTGGAGGCGGGGCCTGTGCGACGGGGGCGGGGCTTGCTGGCCGAGGGGCGGGGCGGCCGCGCGGGGTCTGTGGTCCGCTCCCGAGAGTTGGGGATCCGAGCAGCGCGCGCGCGAGTCGGGAGCGCGGATGCTGGAAGTTCACATCCCGTCCGTGGGGCCCGAGGCCGAGGAGCCCGGTCAGAGCCCAGAGAAAGGCCACATGGTGAGCAGGGTAGCGCTGCAAGGGGGGGGGTGACGGGGACCCGCCAGATTTCGCCCAGTCAAGTGCAGTGACCCACCACTTGGGGCAACTCCACACTGGGGGGAAAGCGGGGTGTTGAGGTTGCTTGGATCTCCAAGGCCCCCTCTGATCGTGGTCGGGGCACTCGCCGGGAGCAAGAGGACCGGCCCCCCCACTTGCCTTTCCCCTCAGGTGTGTGCGGGGCGCTGGGGGGGTCCCCGGAGAGGAGAGCGGCGGTGGCGCACCGGAGCGGGGGCGCGGGGCGCGGGCCCCTCGGCGCCCGTCGGGCCGGCCTCACGCTCCCGTCCGCCCGCCAGGTGTTCCGAGTGGAGGTGCTGTGCAGAGGGCGCAGACACACGGTGCCCAGGCGCTACAGCGAGTTCCACGCGCTGCACAAGCGGGTGAGGCGGCGCCCAGCCGGCCCAGCCCCTGGGGTCCCCGGCCTCCCCCGCCACCCCGGGGTCCAGCGCCAGCCCCGGGAGGGTGCCCCGGGGACACAGCCCAGCTCGCACTGCCCTTGTCCTCGTCTGGCATCACCCGGGTCCCCACCGCAGCTCACCAGGCCCCGTCCCAGGGGGCCCCCTGCCGGGGAAGGGAGGGGGGGGATGGAGGGCTCGGTGGGGGACACGGTTGATTGCAACTTGGTAAAACCGCTGGGGCAGATCAAGAAACTGTACAAAGTGCCCGACTTCCCCTCGAAACGCCTGCCCAACTGGAGGAGCAGAGGGCTGGAGCAGCGGCGGCAGGGCTTGGAGGCCTATATCCAGGTGTGTGTTGGGGGTGGGGTGTGGGGACAGGGGGGGGGCAAACTGCTGTCCCCAGCCTGCTGGACTGGATCTGGACACAGATGTGGGAGGGAGTGTGTGTGGTGGTGGGGGGGAGGGAATCCCACAATTTGGGGACGTTATTCATTACTCTGAGGTGTCAATTTTCAAAGAACAAGTGAGTCGAGACACCTCTTTCTGGATTGTTGAAAGGATTCAATGAGGCAACCAGGAGGTGGTCCCCATTCAGTGAATGCTGCCTTGGCCTTCCCATCCAGGATCAAGTTCTGTTTTGTTTTTGGTGCCCATCCAAGACATGAACTCATGGCCTGGGTGCTGTCCCTTGAGCTTTAAGCTCAAGGCTACTGCTCTGACCACTGGAGCCATAGCTGCATTGTCAGCTTTCTGGTGGTTAATTGAAGAGTTTTACACTTTTCTTGTCTGGGCTGACTTTAAACCTCAATCTTCAGGTCTCAGCCTCCTGAGTAGCTGGGGTTAACAGGTGCAAACCACTGGCTTCCATCTTAAGGATAAGGTTCTGTGTCGCCTTCCCCTGTGGGATATAGGGAGGGGTTTGGTGTGAGATTACATGCCTGGCCACTTCATGGGACTATAGTGCCCAGAAAGGTCCTGAACTCTGTTCCCACTGCCTTGAAATTCATAATTATTTGGAACAAAGGACCTGCATTTTCATTTGCACCGAGCTGTGCAATTACTACCTGCGCTGATTATAGGTTTGTCTCTGCCCTCCTCTTTAGGGCATCCTGTACCTGAACCAGGATGTCCCTAAGGAGTTACTGGAATTCCTGAGACTCCGACACTTTCCCCCGGACCCCAAGGCCAGCCGCTGGGGGTAAGGAGAACCCCATGTTGGAGGGGATGGCAAGGACCTTCAGCAGCTGGGTTTTAGGTAGCTTTGATTATGGCATTCCCTCCGCCCCCCCCCCCCCCCAGCACCTCTGACTCCAGAACTGGGCTTGTTACAAATAGAATAGTCTCGTGGGCTTTGGTGTCTCTACCCCCTCCTTACCGCCCTTGGACATCCCCAGGCAGCTTATTAACCAAGTCTCTTCTCTGCTTTTCAGCACCCTGGGGGAATTCCTGCCTAGTGACAGCAGGCAAGTCAAAGCCCTACCTCCCCTGTTCATGGCTCCTGCTGCCCTCTTGTGGCCACATGCTAGAAGGCAGGCGGGTAGCCTCTGGCCAGTTAGCCAGTCCCCATGAATCCGCTTGCCCCTCACCTTTTCCTTTGTGGGTCCCTGGTAGTCAGTTTCTACTCTCCACCCACTGTGGGGCTTTGCCCTGTCTCTTCACCACCCCTGTGGTTCACAGCCTTCTTTCCTTCCAGCTCCCAGCTGCACCACCGGCCAGTCATCAGCTTCCACGTGGATCCCTACATTTACACCCCTTCTCCAGGTGAGGTGTCTCTGATCTGCAGTGATGTGCGTGTGTGTGCGTGTGCAGGTCCTGGGGCTTGAACACAAGGCCTTGCACTATCCTTGAGATTTTTTTTTTTTTTTTGCTCAAGGCTAGTTCTCTACCAAGAGCCACAGCTACACTTCAGACTTTTTGATGATTAACTGGAGATGTCTCAGATTTTTCCTGCCCAATCTGGCTTCCAATCATGGTCCTCAAATCTCAGCTTCCTGAGTAGCTAAGATTACAGGCGTGAGTGATGGGCAACCTGGCTTGCATTCTTTAGGACCTAGGTAGTAGAGTGGAATAGGAGTGAACTTGACCATGTTTCAGCCTCCAGGACCACAGACACCATCTCCCTTCTTTATGTCTTCCTCTGGGGCTGCAACCTGCTATAGGCTGCTTTGCAGCCTAGCGCAAGAAGACTGGTTCCCATTGTGTCTCCAACAGCCTAATGTGAGCAAACTGTGGCCTGGGAAAGCAGACGTCTCATTTGGATGGACAGCTCTACTCAAGCGCTCCCCTTCTCTGTACTTTCCTCCCACAGAGCCTCTGCCCGAAGTGGTGGTGAGTGGTGTGCTCCAGGGCCTCTACGGCTTTAGCACCAACCCAGCACCAGCCCAGCCTGAGGCCGACTGTCACACAGATCTTCCGCCAGCCCTGCTCTGACCCCGTCCGTGCTCTGATTAGACCAGGCCTTGGGCCACCTGCCAGGATGATTATGCGCCTGGGTCCCAAGGGCTTCCCATCAAGAACTAGGGCTGGATCCTCCCTTAGCCTGGACCCAGGTCTTAACCATCAGCTTGGCTTTGCCCATTCCCACTCAGGGCTTTCACCCCGACTTGCACTGGCAGCTGGGGCTGGCGGAATCTCAGGCTCTTAGCAAAGCCAAGGAGATGAGGTGTGAAGGGACAAGTTGGCTTAGAGGCACGCTCATGCTTGGCCATGAAGTGGTAAGAGCTGCAGGAGTTCTTTAACAGAAGCCTCTGCCTGACACTTTGTAGGTAGCACAGGGTAGCAGTTCAAGTAGGAAGGAGTCCAAGGAAGAGACCAGCATCCATCAACTCAGCAGAGGTCCAGCCATACTGGGATGCAAAACTGGATCAGGTGTTCCCATACCCAAGAACCTGGCTGACACATAGGTTATAAAAAACAAAAACAAAACCAAAACCCACTTTATTATTGGTCAGCATTGGTAGTTTGTTATAAAATTGGGCCTGGAATGTGAGGGGAAGTGGGTCCAACAGTCAAGACACCAGCACCAGGGCCAGTGCAGCGTGGAGCCCAATGATGGGCTCCCCCCCACCCCACCCCCACCCCCACCAGGGTGCAGGGCCTGCACACAGAGAGCTGGTCAGAGGTCAGAGGTCCCTGGGGCCTACTCCTTGGCGATAGCGAAGGGTTTCTCCACCTCGATCTTGCCACAGTCTGCGATGGTCACGTCCTTCAGGGGCTTGTCTCGGCTGTCTGTCTTGGTGCTTTCCACCTTCCGAACCACCTCCTAGGAAGCAAAGGCGGGGTGTGAGGGCCACAGCACTGTGCTTAGGAGAATCTGAAGCCCCTTCTGAACAGCACACAAACCAGAACTCTTCTAACAACTTATGACCGGGGTGCCAGGCCAAGCAGATCGAGACTTGACAAAAGAGTGTAGTAGGAATTTTGTTGGGCCAAATGTGAGGAGAAAAAAAAAGTGTGAGTGAGGTATACCAAGTGGCCCCCCAGAGGTCATGCGCAGCTGCACCCCTATAGCCAAGGAGTCAAAGCCCACACACCCCCATCTCAGTGACTGACAGAACGGAGGACTCTTGTATAGCTTTCCCGAGGCCAGGCGGGCTGTGCTGTTTTGGGGCCTGGGAATGGGGTAGAGGCGCAAGCTGTGAACTGCATATTCTTTTCTTTTTGAAATGAGGTCTTACTATGTTCCAGAGCCCCAAATTCCTGGGCTCACTCCAGCAGGAATGGCTGGAACCACAGGTGTGTACCAATGCATGGCTGGCTTTGAACCGTGATCTTCAGACCTCAGCCTCCTGAGCCACTAGGATTACAGGCGTGGGCCACCAGCGCCCAGCATTGTTTATAGTCTTGATTCCATACAGACAGGAGCAAGAGCACTAATCTGAATCTGTGGCTCTGGTGCCTTTGGCAATGGGATGAAATACAAGGAGCCCCTATTGCAGGGTCTGGGCTGGAGCCTGGGTGAGGCTGGCCCAGGTCTAATCTCCACCTCCAGAACTTACCATGCCCTCTAGAACTTTGCCAAACACGACGTGCTTGCCATCTAGCCAGGCTGTCTTGACTGTAGTGATGAAGAACTGGGAGCCATTGGTGTCTTTCCCTGCGTTAGCCATGCTCACCCAGCCTGGCCCGTAGTGCTTCAGCTTGAAGTTCTCATCGGGAAAGCGCTCACCGTAGATGCTCTTTCCTGCAAAGAGGAGCAGTAAGGGAGCCGGGTTGGTCCAAACCTGGTAGATCCAGGGGGCCCGGCCCTCCCCTGTGCCAGGCCAGACCGGAATGGCAAACAAGGACATCAAAGCGGTCTCCCTTCCTATTCTCTGCCTTTATTTAGATCCAGGCCATTGTGTATGAAATCAAGTGGAGTCTAAGCAAATATAGTACAAGGTGGATCACATCTTGTGCCATTTTAATTAAGACTCACAGTGTCAGCTACCCTGGCTTGAGGCCAGCAAGGGGGGTGGGTGGGGGAGGGTACTAGGGAGGAGTAGAGGGAGGGAGCCTCCAGGGAGGACTGTGGTGACTGACTAGCTTGGAACACAAAGGACAGATGCAGCCACAGAGCAGAAACAGGACAGAGCAGGGGGTGGTGCAGGGGGAGACAAAAGAGGAGAAAATCAAGGGCCTTGTATCCTCTTTGCCAAGGAATGAACATTAAAATAAACACTATGAATGTGGGTCGTGTATCTGTCCATGAGTTTTAAACCCAGGGTCCGCCACATGGAGCCGAGTGCAGATCCTGACATAGTTTCCAAGACCCCAGTCCCAAAGCTGCTCCAGGAGCACTGACGCCCTCCTCCCTGCCACCCAGTGAGTTCACACGGTGCATCAATGACCTGAAGGTCCAGAATCCCTGCACTGGAGAGGTCTGACAACACATTTGTTTACCTGCACCTAAAGCCTCCCCCCCCCCTCTTGTGTGCCAGTCTTGGAACTTGAACTTAGGGCCTGGGAGCTATTCCCTGAGCTTTTTGGCTCAAAAGCTAGCAAAGTCCCACTTCGGACATTTTGGTGAATTAAGAGAGAAAATGATTCAGGCTTTTCCTGCCCAGGCTGGCTTTGAACCACAATCCTCAAATCTCAGCCTCCTAGGTAACTAGAATTATAGGCATCAGTGTCTGATGCCTAGCCAAAGCCTGGTGTTTGATTCTCAACAAACCTTTGTTTACTCTGCAGCCCACAGGATGGAGCCAAGCTGGGAAAATGCCCTGGACTCAGGCTGACTGAAAACCAAGGTGGCTAGATGGGCTAAGGGGTATTTCACCCGTGTTCCACTTCTTGTCCTGATACTGGAGAGACCAGATTGCCAATGTCCTGTGGTGACTCTTTGCTTGAGCGCTGCCTAAAAACTTCTCCCCACTGCCTTTTTTGGGGTCAGTACTGGAGTTTGAACTCAGGGCCTCTTGCTTGCTAGGCAGATGATTTACCCCTGAGCCATGCATCTAGCCCTTTTGCTGCCCTGGTTATTTTTGGCGTAGTCAAGCTTCCTAGTCAGGAGGTACCTGGACTGCAACTCATCTATTTAGGTTTCTCATCTAGATAGGCAAAGCTACACCCGACATCTTCCCACTGATTGAGTCTTACCAACTTTCCTGTCCAGGTTGGCTTCAAATCACATTCCTCCTTTTCTCAGCCTCCCAAGTAGACAGGCTTATGGGGGAGAGCCACGGTACCTGCTAAAACCCCTCCCCTTGAGAATCTTCTGTCTCAATCACAGGATTTCAATATTGCTGCTATCCTGAAAACCCCTAAATTTCTATCCTTACTTCCAAACCTTTCCCAACATACAAGGAATTCCCAATTCTAAGGGACAGCTACTTTAAACCCAACATATAGTATCACCTGAACTCTGGGCCTGGGCGCTGTCCCTCAGCTCTTCAGCTCAAGGCTAGCACTCTCCCACTTGAGCCACAGCACCACTTCCACTTCTTTTTCCTTTTTGCTTATGTGGTGCTGAGGAATCGAACCCAGGGCCTCAGGCATGCAAGGCAAGCGCTCTACCACTGAGCCACCTTCCCAGCCCTAGGATCACTTTTCCTTCCACGGTTTAGTCATCTTTCTGGCAACTTCTCCTTTACACATTGATGCTGTGTCTACTCCTCCCGTGTTTATTCATCCTTTCTCTCTATTCCTGTTCCCCTGACTTCTGTGACAGCTCATGTCTACAGCATGAAAATGTGTCAGACTATTCCAAGTGTCTTACACATAACTATCTAAGCTATTTCAGTAGTATTCCAAAAATAAAGAACCAGAAGATAGAAATGAGAGGTGCCAGGAAGAATTCAAACCAAGATGGCCTAACTCTTCTCGAGTGTTTACCCTTAACTGCCGTTCTATATACTGCCGGGGTTCAGGCAAAAGTCATCCTGCCAAGTGACACCTTCACCGATCTCTCTAACAGTCAGTTTGCTCTTGGCTCCACATTCTACATTCTGCCACTTTCCCTTAAATCCCTTTTGACTTGGTTGTCTTTTCATTTCAGTCTTCAACAGGTCCCTGTGTTCCTTAGAGCATAAACCCAAATTGCTAGCCATAAACCCCCCCGCTCTGTACCCTGCCACCCCTTCCCACAATCCCCTTCTCTTTTGGCCAAGCTCCTGCCACAGAACAGAGCTGGGCATGGGCTGGGAAACCCTCAGGTCACACTGTCCACAGTGCTAACCTTCTCCCGCTATAGAAAAGAAACTAAGGCTCTACGGAGGTCACAAACCCAATTGTGAGTGACTAAACAAATAATTCTCTGTACTGCGGGTCCCTGTGCATACAGAGGTGCAGCTGCTCATAATGTGCAGGTTGCTCCTGGAGCTAGAAAAGGAAGGGGCCTTGTTTATCAGCCACAGTTTGGCTGTGCTACCTCAGAGACGACACTGGGAGACTCCTCTGCCCAGAAGATTTTAGGTTACCTCCAGTGCCATCTCCCCTGGTGAAATCTCCACCCTGGATCATGAAGTCCTTGATCACACGATGGAATTTGCTGTTTTTGTAGCCAAATCCTTTCTAGAAAAAAAATAAGGGACAAGAAGGCAAATAAGAGGCATAAGTCAAAGAAAGATGTCAAACAGGCCCAGCCCATAACTCCTGCTCACAAAGGTGATCTAACTATTGGCCAAACTCATCTATCAGTGTGTGATTGAACGAGCAGTTACGTAGGTCAGGCATGGAGCACACATCCCAGAAAGACCAAGCTTTATACAATCCCAGATCACACAGTCTTTCTCCTCTTTTCAACATATGAGCAAACTCAGAAAATGGATGGACAGCCAGGGGCTAGGGGCTCAAGCCTGTAATCCTAGCTACTCAGGAGGTTGAGATCTGAGGATCGTGGTTCAAAGCCAGCCCGTGCATGAAAAGTCCGTGAGAATCTGAGAATCATGGTTTGAAGCCCGGTTGGCAATAAATCTTTTTTTTTTTTTGGTCGGTCACGGGGCTTAAACTCTGGGCCTGAGCGCTGTCCCTCAGCTCTTCAGCTCAAGGTGAGCCCTCTACCACTTGAGCTACTGTGCCATTTCTGGTTTTCTAGTGGTTTATTGGAGATAAGAGTTTCACAGACTTTCCTGCCCGGGCTGGCTTTGAACTGGGATCCTCAGATCTCAGCCTCCTGAATAGCCAGGATTACAGGCGTGAGCCACTGGCACCCAGCTGAGACTCTTATCTCCAATAAATCTCTCTCTCCCTCTCTCTCTCCACACACACACACACACACACACACACACACTGGAGTTGTGGCTCAAGTGATAGAGCATTAGCTTTGAGCAAGATCGGGGACAGTACCCAGACCCTGAGTTTAAGCCCCAGGACTGGCACACATAGGCATGTACACACACACACACACACACACACACACACACACGGACAAAAAGGTCATCTACAAGACTGGTGCACCCATACACCCCCACATCCCACACCAGGATGGACAAAGAGGTCATCTGCAGGTCCAAGGTAGCTTTGCCATATCCAGGTGCTAAGACTCCCAGGAAAGTTCAGGATGGTTCAACCTTAAGGGTGACCAATATGGGGGTTCTCTGGCCACTGCTACGGATGGGCTGCGCTCTGCAGTCTGGTCTGCCACCACTTACCTCTCCTGTAGCTAAGGCCACAAAATTATCCACTGTTTTTGGAACAGTCTTTCCAAAGAGACCAAAGACTACCCGGCCTACATCTTCATCTCCAATACGTAGGTCAAAGTACACCTGTGGAGAAAGACCATTTCAAATTTAGCTTTGGTGGGCAAGGGAGCGCTGGAGAATTTACTCTGGGAAAGGGAGAGTGAACAGGACCCGAGTCATGCTTCTGAATCTGATTCTGGTGGAGACTAGAATTACAAATAGCTGCAGATGGTTTCTGAAGCGTGTGGACGGCTCTTAGACGGCGCGATAATCATCTTGGCCTGAAATAATGAACCTAGGTCATTCTACAAGAAAACAGACACCCACACGAGCCCACAACTTAACCATGCACGTTGAGAGTACATTTAATGTCATCTAAACAGAACTGGAAATGGCCACACTTTGGCTTCGCGGGAGAAAGGATCTGGGGGAGGGGGGGGGATCTTTCACCAGGACCCCGGCCCGGGATCGGCTCGGGCTCCCTCTCGGGTCTAGGGCTGAGGTTGAGGAGGATCCGCAATCCGTACCCCGCTACCCCAATCCCCAAGGGTAGGAACGGCCTAGGCACCAGGAGTGGATCCGAGTCCCAAGACGCCCAGGCCCCCACGACCTCGAGGCAGTGATGCCCGGGGCGCCCAGGCCGGACCCCAGGTCCCAGACAGAGGGAAGGCCTCGCCGGACAGGAAGGGAAGGCAGGGGAGAACAGAGCGCGGACCTTGACGGTGACTTTGGGTCCTTTCTTCTTCTCATCGGCCACGGAGGGTCCAGGCAACAGCAGGAAGAAGACGGAGCCCACGAGGAGTGCGGCGGCGAACAGTACCTTCATGTTCCGCTCGGACAGGCGCAGCAGCATCCACCCGCAGGAGCGAGCGCGGCCGGGGCGAACCGGGCCGGAACGGGCTGGGAAGCCCAGCGCGGGCCGGACGCTACCATTGTGTGTGTGTGTGGGGGGGATCCAGGGAACACGGGCGGCTTCTCCCAGCAGGCCGGTCTCCAATGTTCCCCCTTTGTTTCGGCACCAGATGGTAGCTCCCTATGGGGGCGTGGCCGGAGCCCCGGGCGGGGACGCGGCCTCGTGAGTGGCTGCCACGTTAGTGCTGCCTCATTGGATTCCTGGCTCGTCCCTCCCGTCCGCAGGAAGGCGGTCGGCGGAAGGCTGGACCCACAGCGCGCCAGGATTGGGTTCTGAAGAGACTACAAATCCCAGCATGCCGAGCGGCGGGGCCCGGACCCCCGCCCTACCATGCGAAAGGCGTCTCCCGCGGGTGTGGTCCAGTCTGTGGGCCTGGGCCCGGTCGAGCTCACTTCTGTCTGTGCGGGTGAGCCAGCTGGCGTTGGTTCCTGCCAAGTCGGGTTCATAAGAACTCAAAGCACTGCTAGGGATCGGACCTAGGATTTACTGCCGTAACACCTTCTGCCTGTCCTCAAAACCTACCTCCTCCATTTGGCCTCAGTCCCTCTCACTGGCTGCATGAACCAATACTGCACGGTAGTGTCTTGGTTCTTGTGGGATTTCTTGGTTTTTGCCGGTCCAGGGGCTGGAACTCAAGGCCTGGGCGCGGTCCCTGGGCCTCTTTGTGCTCAAGGCTAATGCTCTACCACTTGAGTAGTTTATTGGATGAGGGTCTCACGGGGACTTTGCTGCCTGGGCTGGCTTCGAACTGCCACCCTCCGATCTCAGCCTCCTAAGTAGCTAGGATGACAGGCGTGAGCCACCAGCGCCCGGCTTGTTTGCCCTTGGTCTGTGTCAGCTCCCTCAACCCTGCTGCTTACCACTGCTCAAGAAGTACAGCTTGAGATGGCTTTGCATCCTAGTCACCGGTGGGGCATAAGATAGGCAACTGAGGCTGACATCTCAAGGTCCAGAGACCTTGAGAAAGGCAGAATTATCCAGATGTGTCCATGCAACTGTATCGTGCTGTAACACAAACCACATACTTGGTACTGAAAGCCTTTATATACACAGAAATATAAAAATGACGCTAGTATTAGTAACCAATTTTCAAAGATTAACTGTAGAAATTCTAATGTGTCATCGCCCCAGTTGTATACATAGGTTCCATTTTCATAGGTGAACTATGCAACTTGGTGACTGAAGACTTGTGTTTGAATTATGTGTGGCCACTGGCATTGCCTAATGTATCCTTGTATTACATTCATCATTATAATCAGGCTGCAGATTCTCTAATGTACATATAAATCACATATTTCCCACACTGCCCACAGCTGAGAAAAAATGTCTATGAACTCATGTGTTTAAAGCAGCTGTCTTGCATATGAAGAACTAATATTAAAATGGCATAAAAGCAGCCTCTCAATCCTTATTTTTGTGCCAGTCCTGGGGTTTGAACTCAGGGCCTGGGCACTGTTCCTAAGCTTTTTTGCTCAAGGCTAATGCTCTACCACTAGAGCCACAACTTCACTTCCAGATCTTTTGGTGGTTTACTGGAGATAAGAACCCCATGGGTTTTCCTGCCTGGGTTGGCTTTGAACTGATTCTTAATAACATATTATTTTTTGTTGTTGTTGTTGGTCATGGGGACTGAACTCGGCATGGGCACTGTCCCTCAGCACCCTACCACTTAAGCCACAGCACCACTTCCAGCTCCTTTCTGTTTATGTGGTGCTGAGGAATC